TTGTTAGTGCGGGGAAACATCATTAACATCCAATGTGGTGGAAGACCAAGAAACAAAGCATTATTTCAACAAACTTTTAACTTTTCCTTAATCTCACTTTTTCTTTAATTAGATAATAACATCATTGGTATATAGTTAACAATTTAAGTATGCTATCTCCAAAATATTCAGGCACAACATGACTCTGTTAATAGATAATAACATCTACCATGCGGAATAAATAGCCATCGGATGCACAGACTCATCCTGATCCACTCCAGGACAAGAGTCAAAATTCACCTGATCAGGCCGGCCCAGGTTAAAACTTTTGTTGGGCCCCAATCCATTCACATGTGGGCTGCTGCTTGGGCTCAGGCCCCTAGGAAAAGTACTAACCTTTGGCGTAATAATATTCTGCCGCAATGTACGTAACATTATGTTGGTCCTGACTTCTCCTTTCACCCCCCGTTCCAATTTGGGACGTCCAATTTATGGTTTTGGGTGATTAAGAGAAAGGATTTGGGATTAAAATATTAAAAACGGTAATGAAATTTTTTTTAATAATTTTTAATGAATTAATATATAAAAAATTATTAAAGATTTTTAAACAATTTTATCTATATTTTTAGATGTCTTGATTTTTACTGTCATTTAAAAATAAATAAATTTAGAGAATAAGTAATGATAAGAAAGATAAAAATTTAGAATAAAATTTTAGAATAATGGTATGACATAACCCACATCATTAAATTAATTTATACGTATAATATTATAAGTTAAAAAAAATTAATCAGTAAATAATATAAAATTTATCGTTTAATATTTTAAATGGTATAATTTATACAATAGTATTAATTTCATATTTTAATTTTAAATTTTGATTTCCTATATCATTATTCTTAAAAAATAGTACATATTAATTCTAATTCTAAAAAAAAATTAAAGTTCTAACATTAATTATGAGAATTTGTAAACTATCTAATCAAAATCAAAATGAACTTGGGTTAAATTTTCGGAACATTAATCCATAATCTTTTATCATTTGATTCATGGTTCTCTAATTCTGTTGCTTGAGCATTTTAACTCCTTCCATTGTGATACATTCAGGGACACTCGCACAACAACAGAATTATCAAGTAATGATGACTGCTAATAACAGTGGCAAGTAGGACTTAGCAGAAGCCTACCATTCCTTAAAATGAATAAAATTGGAGTGAAATTTACTATATCATAATGTTAGAGTAAATTTTAGAGTAAATTTTTAATTTGAGACCTCAGCTTGTCTCCCCTAACATATTTGATAATTTAATTTTCAATTGCTGAGCATCAAAAACCAATGAAGTTTGGTCCCCATTATCGGTTTGGTTTCAGGGAACTTTAAATTGAATTGGATTTATTTCCATTTTAGTATTATTATTTCCTCACTCTTGGGCATTGCCTACTTGTGTTTTGCAATGTCGGCTTAAGTAAGTTGGGCCAGCTCTAAATTTTTTTTTTGTTGGATTTAAGCTTATAATATGTTTTAATTTCTTATTTTAGTTTTGATTTCTTTTTTGGGTAAATGGATAGGATGTGGTCTTAATAGGATTTATATAATTTTTATTTTTATTGTTTTGCAAAAAAAAAGGTTTTGAATGCATAATAAGCGAAGCTTTTGGACTTGATTGAATATTCTTTAAAAGTTGAGGGACTGTATTGGGAGAAGAAAAGCCAATATCAAGGATCTAAGTGAATGAATATGAAGTTATAGGAATAAACTGTTCATTATATAGAAAATGGAGGATCATATTGATATTTTATCATTAAACAGATTGCAAAGAGATCCAAAAACCTGACGCGGGACCTACGTTGTAGTGTCGACACACAAAGAATTTTTAGCTTTAAAAATTTTCATTTTCGTATAAATGTCCAAGTTTTCCTAATGGGATTTTCTTAAATTTGACAAGATATTCAGTTACAATCAGATTTGAGAGTGTTTGGGCAGCTTCGTGATCCAACACTGTTAATATCTTCAGCTGCTTCCACACCTAAAATTCCTAAGGATGTTTCCTCGGGGAAAACACTTCGACGCTCAAGTCAGCAATACTCAATATTTTAGAGAGAGATTCTCTCAAAGAGTAATTGCAGAGAGAGAGACGTAAAAGAGTTAATACCTTGCATGGAGGTAGTTGAGGGTATTTATAGCCCCATGTACTGACATGAGCCTGCATGTGCGTGCATCCCATTGGACCACGTGTCACAGCTCACGTGGGTGTGTCTCCACAATTTGGATCTCGTGAATGTATGAATGGGCCTATTGGGCGTGGCCTAGATTGAATGTTGAGCCCTATCTTATGGAAGTGTTACTGGGCCTATTGGGCATGGCCCAGGTTGAATGTTGGGCCTAATCCCAACATTACTTCCCCCTCAGCGTTCGGTTGACGAACTGGGATGAAGGTTCTGTTGGCCCAACATTTTGTGTGAAAGGTGAGGGGTAAACCCCTTCAGATTTTAACGAGTGATCTAGCCTTTGGCTGAGTTTGGCAACCTCGTTGGGCGTGTATAGATATGCTTCCTTCCTATTGAATGCGTGTAGGGAAACTGTTATCGAAACGAGTTATGCGAGTTCGGTGTTCGCCAGTGAGCTTAACGAGCTCGTAGAGGCGAGCTCACGCGATGAATTTCCTATTTCTAAATGAGATAGGTTTGAGGCAAACAAAGATTCTTTTCCAAACGTGCGTCGTCCATAAGGTACAATACGTTATGTAGCGAGCTCGCCTATAGTAGCATGCAAGCGAGCAGGTGGTGGACGAGTTGAGCCATTCCAACCCTTGAAGATTGTATTCGCTGAGGTCGTCCTGCTATTAGGAAAATAAACTGAAGGAATTGGTAACGATCCAACGTCTGGTATTCTTCGATATTCAAAACTGAGATGAATCTCTGACTTGTTACAACCTGATCTCCGAGATTTGGAAATATCTGGGGGTGTGATTTGTAACGACCTGAGTTCTGTAGTTTAGAAATATTTGGGGTTGTGATTTGTAACAACCTGATCCTTGTCAATTTTGAAATTTAAACTTACAAAATCTCTGAAGAGATATGGTTAAGAGCGGTTAGATATTCCTCACCCCCCTAATAAATGCTGGTTTAGCGTTTGAAGAGACGTGAGAGTTAAAGCCGGCGGACATTACACACCAGGCTATAAATAGCTGCCACGCATATAACTTTGATTGGTTGGCAGAGAGGCGCGTACGGTAATCATGGGCACAGTCGCTTAACTCCCTTGTCATTTCTCTTTCTCCTTTGGCATTTTTGTTTCCATATTCTCTGTACTCTTCTGCAGCAAAGGACTCCCAAGCTTTTCAAGCGACATTTTCAAAGGATTTTAGAGTCGATTCTTTCAGGTAATAACAAATGGAATTTGTTAGAGAAGTTGGAGAACTCCGGGGTAACTAGGGCATGGAAGGGGAAGAGGTTGTGATGTCCGTAGAACCGATTGCGATGATTGTACCGCCGGAACTGCAAGACTTGCCAGAAATCTTTACACCCGAGAGCAGTGCCAGTTCGAGCACACACGAGAGCTCCAGTGCTAATCCTTCTTCGTCATCTGAAGGGTCATCATCAGAAAAGACTCCCAATGCCGGAGAAGACGTGGAGGAGGGTGTAAGTAATCCCTCGCCGGAAAGTGCGGAGGTGAATGTAGATGTGCTCGTGGTTGCAAGTTGGGAGAATAAAAGTATAAGTGGTAGGCTGAGCAACCTTCGCAAAGCCCCACATACATTGGCCGCTGGATTTAGCTTTAGGGCAAACTTGCATCACGAGGCAACAGATTGCGCCACCTCCACTAAAGGATACAAGAGACTGGAGGAGATAGTGAGGCAGTATCACGTTCCTAGGACAGTTTTGGTCCGAACTGGCACCAAAAACGAGAGGGCTGCACAGTGTCGTCAACAGGGTGGATACCCGTGTATGTGGACCACTTCAATGTCGGCCTGTGATTCCCTTTGCCCGGGCTGATTTTTGACATTCTTTCAGAGTACGAGCTGGCGCTGATACAGTTAACCCCCAACAGCATAAAATTTATCATAGGATTTATGCTATTGTGAGCAAGGTTAAAGATACCTACGAAGGCAATCGTGTTCAGATCGCTCTTCTTGTGTCGGCTAAGTACCACTCAGACGAGGTGGTACTACATCTCTGGGAGAGAAAAAATGGCAATTTTTACGAATGTGAGGAATAAGGTATCCCAATGGAAGAGAATTTTTATTTTTGTCCAGGATACACGAACAGAGAAGGTTAGCAACGATCTGGCAGCTTGCCTCTCTGGGTGGCGCTTAGGGCATACGTACATGAATTATCCTACGCTAACCCCTGACGACTTGGAGCTTAAGGATCGAATAACGAATTATGTGAAGGCGGTGGGGTTAGTTGATTTGGAGGCCCTAGTTACCCTTGAGCTGCTCGCTTTGCGCGGGTTTGTGGATGTCGCAAACCTGTTCAGTGAAGGTACAATTTTGTTGTAAATTACAGTTTTTCATGATCTGAGTCTTATTGCATTTATTTGTGCAGGAGAGATGAGTAGCATGCTGGAGAGACAACGCGAACGGGCTTAGCGCTCACGAGCTAAGGGAGTTGGGTCTAGCACGCAAAGGCAAACGCGCTTTGACAAGCGACCGCCTACAGCTCCTCGCAGCTTGTCGCAAAGGGAGTGAGGCTCCAGCTCGGCTTCACGGCCACATGTTGAGCGGCGAGTAGAAACAGCTACTGTTGAGACCCAGAGGCGTGCTTGTGAAGACTTCGATGCTGAAGATGACGTCTCCTTGATTCAGCACAGATTGAACACTGGGAATCAGTCTGGAGCGGTGCGCTCACTTGACGCGCCCGCTGCTCAAGCGCGTAACCCTACTGAAGCCCTACCCACAGCAGCAGCTAGCATGGGCCCTAGAAATGCATACCCTGAAGGCTTTAGCTATACTAAAGCCGACTGTCAGCTCGTTATGGTCCAGGGTATGTAGAATTTCGTCCCACTTGCGGACTATCAGCGGACCAAAGGTTACATTCAGCAGCACGGGAGTCATGCTGCTATGCTGAAGCTAATGGATGTGAGTATTTTGTTAAATAATCATGTTATCTATTGTAGTTTTTGTAATAAAAGTTGACTATAGAAATGTTATTATAGGCGTTAAGCTACTCGGTAGCTTTGTTTGAGAGCGAGAAGGTAGCTCGCGGGCAAAATCGCAAGCTAACTGACTCGTGCAAGAGGCTAACATCTAACAAGGCAAGCTTGTAGGATGAGGTGAACCGCTTGCAAAGCTTAGAGATGGCCAACAGAGCTGCATCAGCAGAGAGCCGGGCTGATGAGTTGGCCAACAAAGTCAACCAGCTGAAGGAGGAGTTTGGAGAAGGTTCAGGCCGAAAAGGAGAGTGGGATCCAAGCGGCCATGGATGAGGTCGTTTGTGTGGTGGATCGCGCAAAGAAGGCTAAGGCTGAAAGAGACAATGCTTTGAATGACCTCAACACTCTTAGACAGAGGGTAGCAGTGGCCAATCAGGACCTTGCTCGCGCAGAGGAAAGGCTGAGGAAGGCCAAAACTCAACACCAGCGCTGCATAAGCATCGCGTGAGCTCAAGGCGCGAAGTGGCTGGTGGGTGCTGACATGTTCAAGGATGCCGTTGCTGTGGCTTCCATGAACACCACGACAGAGATTTATAATGACGTTCGTGGTAAAGTGTTGAAGCACCGACTAGACTTTCCAATTGGTGAGCTAGCTTTCTTTGAGGGTGAGGAGTTCGATGAAGAAGGGAAGAGCCTTGCTTCCCCTACTGACACGACGGTGCAACCTGAACAAAGATGGAGTGCCTATATGGCCTCCATTTGTTTTAGACAAGGGAGAAGACTTTGAGAACTTGCCTAGGTTCAACTCCTGGGTGGGTGATGCGCCTACAGAAGAAGCTGAACCTTCAAGCACTCCCCTTACACCTTAGCCCGTCCCCGCTGCTACCATCCCTTCTCCAGCTCGTGCTGACGCATCCATGCCCATTGATCTAACGGATGACTAGGATTAGGTTTTTTTATATTTTTCTTTGCCTTTGTAGTTTTAGTATTTCCTTGTCTAGGATCGATTTTGTACTTGCTTTGATACTACATGTAACACATTTGCAAGAAATACAACTAGACAATTTTTTGGAATATTGTGTGTATTATTTGCATTGCACTCATACATTGTTCAACCTTTCCAAATGTTCAGCAATAATACAAATCAACTGTAATATTTCCTAAGATTATGAAAGTTCCATGTGAATGGTAACTGCCGACCTTGTAAATCTGCTAAAATGTAAGACCCAGGTCGCTTAATTTGAGTAACCATGTAGGAACCTTCCCAATTAGGAGCGAGCTTGCCCATGTGTGAATATACATTAATGAGTCCAGCCTTCCATAAAACTAAGTCACCGACCTGAAACTGGCGAGCTCATACCTGCTTATTGTAAAATTTGGCGACGTGGCCTTGATACACCATGTTTTTAATCCTAGATGCTTCCCTAACCTCTTCCACTAGGTCTAGGTTTTCTCTGAGGAATTGCTCGTTATCAGGATGATCAAGCCGGGCATATTGGTTAGTGGCTAAACCGACTTCCACAAGAAGAACGGCTTCAGTTCCATAAGCAAGGGAGAATGGGGTCTCTCCAGTAGCTGAGCTGGGAGTTGTACGGCATGACAATAATACCTTATTGAGCTCGTCAACCCAGTTGGAGTGGGCGGCTAGGACACATGTCTTAAGTCCTTGCAGAACTATCTTATTAGCTAACTCTGCCTGTCCGTTGGACTGTGGGGTATACACAAACGTGAGGGAGAGCTCAATACCGTAATCATTACAAAACGACCTGAGGGCAGCAGCTCGAAATTGAGGCCCATTATCAACAATGATTCGTCTAGGAATATCAAACCTGTACATAAACGTTTTGGCTGAGCCATGGAATGTGTAAACACGATATATAAGGCTTAATCAAATGATGAATACCTGCATAATATGGAATTGAATATGAATTCCTCAATCTTCCTTTCAGTTGTCATGGATAATGGTTTGGCTTCTATCCATTTAGTAAAGTAATCTACAGCGATAATGAGGTGCGTGCAGCCTCCTTCACCTTTGATAAAGGGTCCGAGGAGGTCAACGCCCCACTGGGCGAAAGGCCAGGGTGATGTGAGAGAAGATAACATTTGCCCTGTGTATGAGGATATTTTTGTTTAGCTTAAAGACAAGAGTGGGGGTTATGCAAAACTTTGAATGAGCTCAGATACCTAGCATGTGAATGTCATCAGCGTTGAACTGACAGGTCGGGCACTTTTTAACGTAACTCTGTGCGTCTTCGACCATGGTAGGCCAGTAAAACCCCTGTTGTAAAATTTTTCAAGCTATGGTCTTTCCTTCTATATGTGTGCCACATACTCCTTCATGAACCTCTCTCATTGCGTATTCAGCTTTATAGGGAGTGAGACAGCGTAGTAGGGGCATTGAAGCCACTCGCTTATACAACTGGTCGTTAATCAAGGTAAAATGTGCCGCCCTACGCCTAACCAATCGAGCATTAGATGGATCCTCAGGCAATTCACCATTTCGCAAGTACTTAATCAATGGCGTAGTCCAGCTCAGCGATGAGGGATCTGTACTCAACACCAAGCACTTGTCCCCCAAGTCAGTGTAACTCGATTCGTCTAGGATCTCAACAACTGTCATCCTATGAGGATTGATATCTTGCGATGAAGCCAGCTTCGACAACTCATTAGCTCGTTTATTATCCGCCCTTGGTATCTTATCAATCCGAAACGAAATAAAGTTTGCCTTCATCTTGCTAACCACAGAGGCATAACGGCCGAGTTGAGAATCTCTAACATCACAACTTTCGTTTACTTGATTTACACTACGAGCTGGGAGTCGCTGAAGACTCTTTTGTGCTGTGCTTTCAGCGCGGACGCCAGCTTCAGACCATAGATGAGTGCTTTGTACTCGGCGGCGTTATTCGTGGTCTTAAAGCTAAATCTCAATGCGTGCTCAGATTTGAAACCGTTTGGGTCTATTAGCACTGCCTCTGCCCCTGATCCTTCAACGCTCGCAGCCCCATCTACAAACAGAGTCCATATCGGTCCCGCTGGCGAGGTTTTTTCTTCAGCTGGTGGGTGGCACTCCACTAGGAAGTTTGCTAAAGCTTGACCCTTGATGGCTGTGCATGGTTGAAATTTGAGGTCGTATTCGCTCAGCTCGACTGCCCATCCAATTAGCCAACTAGAAAGCTCTGGTTTCTGCAGTATCTTTTTTAGCGGTAGGTCAGTGTAGACAATGATATCGTGAGATTGGAAATAAGCCCTCAGCTTTTGGGCAGTGTAGACAAGTGCAAAAGTAGCTTTTTCAGCAATAGGATAATTTCGTTCTGCATCTTGCAAGACTTTACTGATATAACAGATGAGTTTCTGTTGTTTATCTTGCTCCCTTAACAGAATTGAATTGACCGCCTCATCTGCTATCCCCAGATATAAGTACAACCTTTCTCCTTCAATAGGCTTGGAGAGCAAAGGTGGGGATGCCAGGTATTGCTTAAGTTCATCAAAGGCCTGTTGGCATTCACTCGTCCACTGGAAGCTTTTTGGCTCTCGCAAAGCTCTGAAGAATGGGAGGCATCTTTCTGCCAACCTGGCCATGAATCTGTGCAGGGCGGCAAGACGACCTGTTAGACGCTGTACATCTTTCACGGTCTTAGGAGGTTTCATCTGCTGCACAGCCATAACCTTATCCGAGTTGACCTCAATTCCTTTCTTAGACATCACATACCCCAGGAATTTGCCCGATTCTACAGCAAACATACACTTCAACGGGTTTAACCGCATCTATGCTCGGTGCAAGTTTTGAAATGTTTCATTCAGGTCGTCAATAAGATCCTCAGCTCGTACATTGGTAACAATCATATCATCGACATACACTTCAATGTTCCTACCAATTTGAAGTTTAAATACGACCTGCACTAACTTCTGATATGTTGCACTAGCATTTTTTAGGCCGAATAACATCATAACATAGCAATAAATTGCATACTCAACGTAAAATGTTGTCTTTTCCTGGTCGTCCAACCACAACTGAACCTAGTGGTATCCGAAACTGGCGTCTAGAGAACTCATGCGTTCATGACCAGCAGCTCGCTCTACCAACTTTTCAACATTGGGCAATGGGTGGGGGTCCTTAAGGCATGCCTCATTCAAGTTGGTAAAGTTTATGCACATTCTCCACTTGCCATTGGGCTTCTTGACGAGCATGGGATTGGACACCCATTGTGAGTAGTTAACCCGTCTGATAAAACCTGCCTACAACAACTTCTGTATCTCTTCATCTATTGCTGCTTGCTTCTCCGGGCCCATCAGGCGACGTTTTTGCACCACGGGTCTTTTAGTTGGGTCAGTGCTAAGCTTATGGACTGCCAACTCCGTCAGAATTCTAGGCATTTCATCTGTTGTCCATGCAAAGACATCTTGGTTGGCTTTTAGGAACTGCAGAAGCTCTGTTCTCTCTTTTTCTGTGAGTTTAGTTCCAATCTTCACCGTCTTCTTTGGATTATTAGGGTCTAATGAAACGGTTTCTACTAGCTCAACTGGTTCAGCTTTCTATTCAACGTTCTCTGGACGGTGGTCTATGTCAGAGATGCTCATTGTCTGCAGACCTGGTTGGTTCGGTCTAGTAACCAGAGAAGGAGTTTTTGGCATTGGAGCTAGTTCAACTTTCTTGAAAGTGTCCTGGTAGCATGCTCTAGCCATTTTTTGATTTCCCTTGAGCACCCCTATTCCCTGAGGAGTTGGGAATTTCATACAAAGGTGTGGCTGGGAAATGATAGCTTTCAGCTCGCACAGCGTGGCTCTCCCAATTATGGCATTGTATGCTGACTCCATCTTAACCACCAAGAAGCTGACAGATGCCATCCTGAACCGTGGCTCCGTACCTACATAGATTGGAAGAGTGATCACCCTTTCGATCGGAACGGGCTGATTATCAAATCCATATATCGGCCCTTCATATTTCTGCATGGAAACTGGATTTAATTGCATCTTCTGAAAGCAGCTCCAATATAAGATATGGGGAGAGCTACCTGTATCAATGAAGACTTTGTTGACATTATGATTGTCTATGTGCACTGTTGCTACAAAGGGGTCTGCATGGAGCATCATAATATCAGGCTCCTCCCCTATTCATTTATAATCAACAGGACTGAAGGTGATGGGTGTGTTTTCCCACTCAGTTTCTTCAAATGGTCGTTTTAGGGCTCTGTTTTTATCTACTGTCATCACCTGACGAGCATAAGTCTTATGTCCTCTGGCACTTTGTCCTCCTGAATGCATGCCACCCGAAATCATGTTAATTGTGGCCAGACGGTGGGGGTATCCCGCTGTAACCTACCCCCCTATGATCTTTTGGGTGCTGTGCAAAAGGTTTCTGTCCCTATCCTCGTCGATTAAATGGGCATTCTCTGTAGGCTTTGGTGGATTCAAATGAATATTGATTCCCCTGGTAATGATTTTGGTTGTCACCGAGTTGATATCCTTGTCCCTGTCCCTGAGATCGGGAGTATTCCTGCACAAAATGTGTCTAACTGGGTTGCTGGGCATAAGGTTTCTGGACGTATCCTTCCAATTTCCCATTGCGAGCTAAGAATTCTAGCTCGTCCTTTAAGCTCTGACAATCATCTGTGTTATGACCATAAGCTCGGTGATAGTCACAATATTTGCTTTTATCAGCTTGTGGGTATTCATGTGTTTGAGGAGGTGGTCTCTTGACCCAATGTTGTATCTGCGCCAATATCTGAGATCTTGACGAGCTCAGAGGGATATAATTGGCATATCTAGGGAATGACAGTGGCTTTCCTCTCTGCTCGCCCACCTTCTGCTTTTTCTTCTCTTCCGTTGCTTCAGGCTGCTTATGCTCTTTACTTTGTTTATCGTCAACTCGCCGTTTAGACGATTGGAAGTCTTCTGACAGTATGAAACTTGTTGACCTATCATTTACTTCATTTCACGACTTCGGTGGATTCTCCAACAGGTCGTCTAGGAACCGACTAGGTTTCAGGCCGTGCAGTAGGGCTGACAAACAGATGGTATCAGGGACATTATCAATGTCAAGGGTGGCTTTGTTAAATCTTTCCATATAGTCTCGTAAAAACTCTCATTCCTCTGATGAACTTGCATTAATTCGGTGGCGGTACGTTTAATCTCCTTCTGACTCGCAAATTTGTTGGAAAAAAGAGTGGCAAGCTGGGGTTATGAGGCTACAGAGTGCCTGGGGAGCTTGTGATACCATCTTCTGGCAGTGGATTTCAATGTTGCAGGGAATACTTTGCACATCATGGCATCGATAGCATTCTGAATCTTCATGATGGCTTGATAGGTGTGTAAATGTTCATCCGGGTCATTGGAGCCATCATATGTTCCTAAATGGGGAATTTTAAATCCCTCCTGATATGGTTCTGTAGTAATGGATTGATTGAGATGAGCACTGTCCAAATCTAAGGCTTGTTGTCATGATCTTGGACTCTTTAGCTCATCAATAGATCTTTGTATGTCTTTTAACTGTTTCTCTAGTTCTGCGTTTTTCTTCATCAATTCATCACTATGTTTGGACGAACTGGGCTTCGGATTTAGCCTTCCACTTCCCCTTGGTTTGGTTGGGACCACCACATTACTTAAAGCTGAGGAATTACGGGTGGCAACTACTGTAGTAGACTGTTCTCCCCTATTTAGTAGAGGGATTAAGGGGTCATCAGGGATCAAGCGAGAGAGGATTTTTCCCATGGCCATTTCTAAAACCTTGGTTCTTTCTTCTAGCTCGGTCGTCTGAGCAGCTTTCATGGACCTCTCAAGTCGTGAAGCATTTTGCCTAGGATGCCTTCGCTTAGCTTTTGTGGGGACATGAAACTATTCTTTGGGTTGGGTTGCATACCCAGTGGGTGTTCGTTCATCGTCCGAAGTATTTGATTGTTCTTGTTCTGCTCCTCCCACGAAAAGGTTTTTGGGCATTGGTTGGAAGTCATTCAAATCACTTTCCAAGAGCTGAGTATTGTCCTGTTCGTCCATGTTGCCTCGTGGGGGGTGGTTTCTTGTGACGGTTCGCACCATTTTCAGCTCGAGCTAGTTACGTCGCAGTTCTTTTTGTTCGTTTCCCACAGACGACACCAAATGTTTGGGCAGCTTCGTGATCCAACACTGTTGATATCTTCAGCTGCTTCCACACCTGAAATTCCCAATGATGTTTCCTTGGGGAAAACACTCCGACGCTCAAGTCAGCAATACTCAATATTCTAGAAAGAGATTCTCTCAAAGAGTAATTGCAGAGAGAGAGGCGTAGAAGAGTTAATACCTTGCATGGAGGTAGTTGGGGGTATTTATAGCCCCATGTATTGACATGAGCCTGCATGTGCATGCATCCCATTGGACCATGTGTCACAGCTCATGTGGGTGTGTCTCCACAATTTGGATCTCGTGAATGTATGAATGGGCCTATTGGGCATGGCCCAGATTGAATGTTGAGCCCCATCCTGTGGAAGTGTTACTAGGCCTATTGAGCATGGTCCAGGTTGAATGTTGGGTCCAATCCCAACAAAGAGATTTTGCAAATCAAGAAAGAGATGGCAATAAGAAATGAGAAGAATGCATTTTAGTCTCGATTTTTAAAAATAATTAAAATTTTAATTTTAAATTACATTATTTTATTTAATTAAAATTTAATTTAAAATTTATGTTATTAAATATTGATATATTAAAATATATAATAAGTTTTTAAATTTAGATATCAATATTTAATAGAATAAGATTTTAATTTTTAAATATAAATTAAGACTTAATTATTTTTTAGAATTAAAATTGATACATATTAATCTCATATGATATTTAATATAAATAAATTAAAATTTGAGACTTTATATTATTAAATTAATTTTATTTGTATTTAAATTTTATTTGATGATGTTTGGTACTTTTATATTTATTATAAAATATTTAATTTTTTTTGTTATAAATTTATTTAGTTATTTAAGATTATGATGTAGTATGA